ATGTATGACATGAGTTCATTGGCTGCGGCCAGTGTATCATGCAGGAACTAGACCTCAACAACGGAGGAAACTAGGTGCAAGGGAGATGGACATTCTCTGCATTTTATCAACTCTTCTATAAATGTAAAATCATTCAAAAAATCTGTTAAAAAGAAAAAAAAATCCTTCTTTTAATATTGTCACTGAATATCCTTACTGCTCTTCTAAAACTATTTTCAATTTTAAATCGTGTGAAATTAAGTAAGTCTGAGCATGGCACGGGGCAGATGGGCGCGGGGCAGCTGGGCGCTGCGCGGGTCCATTAGTTCACTGCACAAGCATTTGCTGAGCACCTCCTCTGAGGTCATGTCTTCCTGGGTGCCAGTGAAGCAGCGATGAGTGAGACAGGAAGTGCACATGGAGCGGGAGGAGAAAATACAAGAATACAATATCCAGATAACGCAGAGTGTGGTCAACAACAAAACCCCGGCCAGGGTGAGGAAGCAGAGAACGCAGGAAAGGGCTGTGATTCCTTGGGCGCCTGGGAGGACGCATTGAGGAGGAATCATTTGCACTTGGACCTGAAAGGAGTGCGGGAGCTGACCACGCCAGGATGTGGGGGTCACGGGGAGTGGGCGAGTGGGGAGTGGTAGGGATGAGGCCAGAGAGCTCAGCAGGGCTGAGGTCAGGCAGGGCTCAAACAGCACTGAAAAAGTCAACCACATTCCTCGCTTGATAGAAGTTGTTCATCGCAGGCCACTCATTTAAGATCATCGCTGCAGCTGTATGGAAATGGCGCACTGGGGGCATGAGAACAAAACCACGCAAACCACAGTAGGTGGCAACAGTGGCCAAGTAGAGTGACTGGCTAGTCACTCAGTAGCGGCCCTGGAAGGGGCAGAAGTGCTGGGCTGGAGCGTGCACCTAAGGAAGACTTCCTGACTGGGTGGGCATGGGGACGAGAGGACCAATCATGGACCAGTCAACAAAAACAGGGGCTCTTCACGGAAACATCGCCCCTATCTGCTGAGACCTTTTTTCAGGCTTGAACTCCCTGAGAAGATTTAGCTCAGAGACCAAAGGGCACTGCAGGAAACCATGCCTCTTGATGAGCAAGGGTGCCCACTTCCTCCCATGGACCAGCTGGTGCAGCCGCCAACTGGTACCTAACGTGTTTCTGGGTTGTCTGCTCTTGCCCCAAACCCTGGAGGGATAGCAACACCACTCACCATTGTACAGTGATGCCTGGCAGATGGACACATTTGCTGAACCACTATGGAACACATGGACAGAGGGGACACCGCGGGGCCTAGAGGTGGCGGGAGCTTCCCTGGGAATCTATTCTTCAAGTGAGAGCAGTAATGTCCAAACCAATGCAGAGGAACAAGAATAAAGTTCAGGAGTGGGTTGGAGTTGAGCAATCAGCAAGAGCTCTGGGCGGGAGCCAATAAATAAGAAACTGATTTTGCAAGAGCTAGCACAAAGGGCCACGCAACTGGCAGAGGTGGGACTTTGCTGCTCAGCTTGATGACCTCATCCCAGGACCACAAATGTGAGAGCTGGAGGGGATCTGAGGAAACTTTTGGAAGCATTTGCTCATTTTACAGAGGAAGGAAATAAGGTGTGACGGCTTCCGACCAGGACCCAATTTGCTGGGCTCCATTTGCCATATTCTTTCTTTTTCTTGTACCAGGGGTTGAACTCAGGGGCACTCGACCACTGAGCCACCTCTCCAGCCCTATTTTGTATTTTATTTAGGGACAGGGTCTCAGTGAGTTGCTTAGGGCCTTGCTTTTGCTGAGGCTGGCTTTGAACTCAAGATCTTCCTGCCTTAGCCTCCCAAGCCACTCGGATTACAGGCATGCACCACCATGCCTGGTCATTCTCTTTTTTATAGTATGCTGATTACCAGTTAAATTAAACTTCTTTTTTTCATATACAGGCTCAAAGAGGAGTTCTCAGAAGTCAGGTGCAAAGATTAGTCTTCTAAAGTCTAAAATCTATTCCTAAGTAAAATTCTCATTTTAGAATTCAGTTCCATCAAAAAGAAAGAAAAAAAAAACTGTTAATAAACATTTCCTCTTCTCCTTCATTGAAAATGAGGCCCCTACGATGGTTCCTTTTTTGACATGGCTGCCAGGAAGCTTAAAGCTAAATTTAACACTTAATCCTCCTAATTATAGTGATCTCAGTTTTGACAAACGGCACTTACTCACCTTCTTTTTTTATCTTTAAATTTTTTTCCAATGGTCTTATTGTCTGTGTGTCTTTTACTATATATTGTCTCAAATCCTTTTTTGGAAGTCAGCCAGGTATAAATCACCAATAACCAAAACAGAAGGAAGGTTCTGTTTCTCTTGGGCACCAGGACTGCTACATTCAGTGTGGTGTCCATTTTCAGATACTGCCCTTGACCCTGACTCTGCCTCCCACTTTCGTATTTATAGAGAAGGAGGCCACCGCAGGATAGATGCACACAAATGAACAGTTATAAAATTGTAGGGTCGGCTTGCTAACTAGGCAAGTCCTTGGAAACTTCGAAATGAAAACAAGATGTGGTAGGAGAGGGCTGTTTCCTGTGCTGACGTGGCAGAACTTCACCAGCGAGGGACCTGGAGAGGCCAGGCAGTCCCGGGCACGCATGGTCGGCAGGTGGTGGGCTGGGTCGCTCCCAGCTCCAGGCCTTCTGCTTCTGCTGCCACAAGCCTGACCTCCCCGGGCCAGAGAAATGAGATCACGTAGCCTCCCTCTCTTCTGGATTCTGGCCACAGAAAGAGATTAAAGCACTAGTTTTCTGAAACCATGAGGCTTTCTCTTCCCTCCCTAAATGAAATTCCTCCTAAACCACAAAAATTTAACCCAGGCAAAATTAGGAAAGCAATAAAGGAGTCCATACAGATGTTTGTCCTCCTGCTCCTCCTGCTTCAGAACCTTCTGTGACAGTTTCTGTTGAGGTAGCAAAAAAACAGAAACAAAAAGAACAATAAATAAGTCCTGGAAAATGGCAGCTGTTTATGCCTTTGAGCCTGAGACTTCCTGTGGCTTTTTGTTTTTTAATCTTTCCCAAGTTTGTAAATTCCGTTCTTTATTCCTGTGGTGTTGGGCCTGATTTCCATGATCATCTAAGAGATATGTTCACAAGAAAAATGGCTTCAAGGGTGCCGCTGATCATGGAAATGCTCCTTCCCCACAGCACCCATTTGGATTCCGTTCATGATCTCCTCCTAGTCAGAGCCAATTTGTTCAGAGAGAGACAAGAAGATGCTGCCCCAATGTTCCCAACACCTTGAAGAATGAGACAGTTCAAAAAGCTATGGCGTTTCTTCAGAAAAATCTCAATAAAACCATGACTCGCAGGCCAGACTGTTGTATGACATCACTATAGCGGGCAAGAGCTCACCTTGCGCCCAGGCTGCCTGGCTTCTTATCCTACCTACCTCCTGTTACCCAGGAGCCCTGGACAAAGTGGGATGTGACACTTCCCTACCTTTAAAATGGGGATAAAACTAATGTTCACATCATAGAGCACTTTGATGTGTTTCAAAAACAAAGAAAGCATGTGAAAGCACACACCATTGGCTCCACTCCCTTTGCTTCTGACTCTGTAAGGGCTGGGCTGGGGCCTGAGAATCTGCGTTTTAACATGTCTTCAGATGACACTGATGCCCTTGGTCTCCAAGTTTGAGAGAGGTTGGGGTGTGGAGGTAGACCGCTTGCCTAGTCCTCGGGGGCCCTGGGTTGAATTCCCAGCACCTCCCCAAAAGGCTTGATCCACTCTCAGTGGGCTATGCATAGACTACATAGTTACACATGTCATTTTGATACTGCACATAGCTGTGCCAAGTGGTGTCAGTTCTTATTGTCTTACAAGGTGTCTCAAACTCAGACATTTTACTCGCAGTAAAACCCAAATGCAATCGAGAAAATCCTATCACGTTCCTAATAGAAATACCCTTATTTTAAAGACCTGGGAGGTTCTGAACTTGCGAAGTGTAGATACTTTAAAAGCGATTCCAGGATGGCGGGCTTCCCTGCCTAGAACTTGTCGGCGCCCATCTGTACACTTGGGAGGCAGAAGCGAAACAAAAGCTGACACAGCTACTTTTTGAGGTTTTGTGTCTTCGGAGTTACAGTAAAAGCGCCAAACAGACTTAGTCATTATGGTCAAAAAGAATTCTTCAACTCGTTTCAAGTAATTAAGGAGCCCAGCAAATGCGGACGTTGCAAGGGCAGCTGGAACAGCAGAGGACACAGCCTCACAGGCGGGGATCGTTCCACAGCTCCCCACAACAAAGGGAACGACCAAACCCCCGACCTGCGGGCTTCCAGCAGCCCTAACGCCAAAGACCAAGGCTCCGACGAAAAGCCGGCGTGTTTGACTTGGTGTCGGGAAAGAGACTATCGATAAAGCCCATGGTTAAGATGCTTTCCTTGCCGGGCCCCTGGACCGTTCTGGAGCCCCGTCTGCCTCCCGGCGCCACGCACTCCTGCCCGCGGGAGCAGACTCCGCACACCCGGGCGCTCGGAGCGCCTCTCGGTTCTGCGCACGGGCTCTCGCGGCCCGAGGAAGGGACCGGCGCTTCTCCCACACAAGCAGACCTGAGTTTTCGGGACAAATGCTCCAGCGAAACGTGAGAACGAGATAAGGCATTTTTGCCTCGAGATGACTTTTTGAAAATTAAACAAAGGGCGTATGTTTGCAAGAATGAAAAAAAAAAAAAAAAAGAAAGAAAAAGAAAAAGAAAGACAAACCCCCGCTTTGCCCTGACCGTTTAAAAATGCAATACACAAACCACTTTCCCTAACACTTCTTCTAAAAGGTAGGTCACTGCCAGCCCGGGCTCCTGAAGGTTCCACCGAGGGGCTGCTGCTTCATTGGCAGAGAGGGACAGAGAGGGACAGGAGCGCGCGGGGAAACTTGGAGTCTGATCCTCTAGACCAGAGCCTCCCTTAGATTTGGCGCGGGTGGAGGCAGCGAGACACCGGTCCCCAGATGGGATTCTGGGGCTGCCACGACTCACCTCGCCAACTTGTCCAGGCTGCCGGCGCCCCGGCGGCCGGCTCGGGGACGCGGACGCGGGGGCCTGCGCCTCGGAGCGCGCGGGCGGGCCCCCGGGAGGGCGCGGGACCCCGGCGGGCGCGCGGGAAGCGGCGCAGGGTGGCGCTGCGGGGCGGACGCGGGGTGCCCGGGCGGTGCGGGGGGCTCGGAGCGGCCGGCGCGCAGGGACAGCAGCGCCAGCAGCAGCGCGGCCAGCGCGAGCAGGAGCAGCGCCGCCGCCTTGCTGCGGAGCTTCATGGTGCGGTGCGGCCCCTCTGCGCATCGCGGCGTGCCCCGCGGCAGCGGCGGGGGACGAGCGCTGCGCCGCCGCGGCCGCCTCCTCTGCCCGCCGGCCAGGGACTGGGGTCTAGGAGGGCGGCGGGTGGCCGGCGGCGGCAGAGGAGGAGAGCGGCGAGGAGGAGGCGCGAGGGCTCCGGGAGGAGCGGCCCTCGCCTACCGTACTGTGTGGAGTAGCCGCCCGCGGTCCGCCCACCCCAGCCGCCGGGCGCTGGAACTTCAGGTAGTGCCGGCTACACATCACCCCATTCATCCATTCATTTGGTCATCTGCTCATCCACTCGCTTACTCACTTACCTCCCGTTCCCGCCACTCTTCCATCTGATTCGCTGTCGCCACGATGATTCGCCCATTGATCCATTTATCCCATGCGTTTCCCACCCAGCCGCGCTGCTGCCTGCACAGCCACATCTGCTCGGGGGAGGGGGGGTGGGTGGACATCTCTGTCCTGTCTGCCCGGCGCACGGCTCTGCACACGGTGCTGCCCAACAAGTATGTTGGGCAAAAGCACTCTAGATCCGCATACAGAAATGATAGAATGAATTTCAATGTCTAGATTTAAAATCGGACACTGTCAATACTGGCTTGGTGATCCTGAGCAATCTGCAGAACTTTCTTAAGCCTTAATTTCCTTTAATGCAAAATGGGAATGATATGCTGCTCACTACAGAGGCATTCTGTGGATAGATACCAAACCAAATAATACATTCAAAGGAACTAGCACAGTGTCTGGCTCACAGTAAGTGCCCACTAAGAGTTCCCCGAGATCATTAGTACAAGAAAACATAGTTTATCTTATAGACGTAAGTGCGAATTTCATATTCTTTCATAGCTTTGAGATGAACAACTCCACGACTCGGTGTGCCAGGCGTAGTAGCGCACCCTGTAATCCCAGCCACTCCGGAGGCTGAGGAAGGAGGATGGCAAGTTCAAAGCCAGCCTCAGGAACTTAGGCCCTAGCAACTTAGTGAGACTCTGTCTCGGAATAATAAAAACAAAAAGGGATGGGAATATTTCTCCCTCTGGAATCTGGACACCTCTAGCTATCCAGTTACTCAGGCCAGAAATTAGGTGGGAACCCTTCTCTTCCTTTACCTCCCAGAGTAGTGATGTTCTGTTGCATAACAAACGACTCCACAGATGCTAAGAGGTAAAGCATCCCTGGGTTAAATCCATCCCCATTTCCCTCCCTTATCTAGCTATCTATCTATCTATAGAATATATTAATTCTTTGGAGACTTTAACAGCCACAATCACCAGGTCAAGGTCAGGATTTCCTACCTATTCTTCCAGGGCCTCCCCAGTTACAGATCGGAAACATCTGCACACATCCTCCCATTATTCTGTAAGAACTGACAGCAGCTGTCTATTGACTCTCCTTGCAGCACAGTCACAGAAGAAAGAACACTCGTTATAACAATGTTCCTGAGTGTCCACAAGGTTCTAAGTTGCCTTGTTAATCATCTCAAATTCAATTATATTCTGAATTTTTCTCATAATAGCATCTTATCTTAATTCTTTTGCAATCCATTGCATTCACATGCCTAGGAGTAAGAATATTTAATAACCTGAACCCTCAAGCAGGCATCTAGGAAATGGCAGATGCAAGCTCAAAATATGGGTGACAGATGTTGCTGGTGAGCAAACATAAATGATGCACTGGTTCCCAATGGGGCCGGGAGAGGGGAGGTGGCACCCACCTCAGAGCATCTGGAATAAGAAGGAGGATGTCTTGGGTGGACATGATAGCCACAGGTTCTGAAGCACATTGCTAACCCTACTGCGGTTTCCAGCACACAGCAGCACAAACAAAAATTTGCCATGGGTCAAGGGCCAATATGGAAACCCTGTTGAGAAAGGCTGGGCCAGGACAAGACCCGCTGTTCAGACCTTTCAATTTACAAATGCCACATTGTTTTGATATATGGCCCAGTGAAACAGGAATCCCGTAAATGTGCCTTGCCACCTCTTCCTTCTTCAAGGCCATATGAAAGGCCAGCAAGTAAATCTAACACTTGACGGTAGCCAGGGCTTCAAACCTGAGTAGGATCCAAGACAGTCAGACTGAACCAAACAGAGGACTTGGTTTTCTTAAATCCCACTGAAAGTAAAAAGAAAGGCCTGATTTACCTCCTGCCCCCGAGGCCAACCCATGTTTTGGAATCACTACTCTGGGAGAAAACCGCAATCTCTAGTGTCATGGAAAAGCAGTCCAGACTCCCACAGCCATGGCCCACCCAGTGTCTCAGCCAGATGTTAGGGACACAGAATCAACACACTACTCCAAAGCCTAGTGGCTGAAGATAACACACGTATAAGCGCATGGTTCCTGGGATCAGGATTCCACCTTGGCTTAGCTGGGTCCTCTGCTCTCCCAGCCCCCACAGGCTGCCCTCAAGGTGCGGGCCAGGTCTGTGGTCTCCTCTGAAAGCTCAGTTGGGAACCACTGGTTTCCAGACCCATTCCTATGGCTGCTGGAAGACCCAGGTTCTCTCAGGCCATTGGAACGAGGGCCTCAGTGCTTTGCTGGCTGCTGGCCAGAGGCCACCTTTCATTCCTTGCCAGGGGCCCTCCCTTGCAGGACAAGCACACAGGAAGAGCCAGAGCGACAGAGCTGGAGAGATGGAAGTAGTGGTCTTTCTCAGCTTCACCTCACGAGTGGCAGACCATGGCTTTGCCGCTGGATATGACCAGCCCATGCTCAGGGAGGGAATCCCACGGGGCTCAAGGACCAGATGTGGGGTCACTGGAAGCCATTCTAGAAGGTACTCCTCACCTCCCATATCCAGCACAAGCCCAAGTTCTGTCACATCTACCTCTAAAATGTAGCTGCCACCTGTGCAGGGATGTTCACAGAAATCGGTAGCAAGGTAGGAAAACCTAAACTTAACTGACAAATCGCTGGAGGCTCCGTGTGGGTGTCTTTGAGAATTAGAATGCCCAGGGGCCCTGGTCTTAAGGGGTGCCATGCTCTATGAGGTTGCCTCCAGGAGCTCTCCCAGGTTCACACAGTGTTGGAGTCCACCTTTGGCCGGGTGCTCAAAGGAACCATTTGGGAACACATCAGGCCTTCCTAACAAGGCCCGTTCACAAGAAGCTTTTATTAGATCTTTTTAAAAAAACCCAAGAAACTAATTTATTGGGGTTTATCATAGCCCAACCACCCGGGGAAGGAAAATGCCCAATTTCAGGCCTTTCTAGTAGTCTTATGGGCACAGACCACTGGAAGACTGAGACCTAATCCCAGGACAGGGGAAATCTTCCTCTCCCCACAGCTTACCCCTCCTGGGACGGCATGTTGGGTTTTCTTAAATCCCCTTCCTGGAACGGCATGTTGGGTATTCAAGGACAAGTTACAAGGTGTGCTAGAAGCAGAAAACAGAGTTTGAAAAGTCAGCATGTGCACTAGATCCAGACTGACATGCCACTGACATGGGGAATTGAAAACAGCTGTGATTACTAGGCCAGGGGCTCTAAAGAAAAAACCAGCAAGGCCATATACAAGAAGAGATGCTCAGGTAAGCCAAGAGGCGGAAACTAGAAGACAGAGTTAGAAAGAGACGCTAGAGGTCAAAAATACCTCTTTAATATGCTTGTTAGCAAACGAATGTCCCTGTCGAAAGACTGTGAGCTGGAGGTTAGACGAATAGAATCTTCTAAAACAAAAAGTTGAAGAGAGAAAAACAAGTGGAACAGAATATCCAAGAACAGAATATCCAAGGGACAACTACAAAGTCTAACATGTATAATGGCAATATCAGAAAAAGAGAAATAAATACAAGAAATAGTTAAGGCAATGACTAAGAATTTTCCCCAAGTTAATGTCAGACACTAAACCACAGAACTCAGGAGCTCAGAGGACACCAAGCAGGTAAATGTGAAAGCAGAAACAACAAATTCATACTAGGCATGTCACCTGTGAGTGGAAGTCAAGGACAGGAAGAAGTCTTGCAGGAAGACAGAGGGAAATGACACCTCAGCTATGAGGAAGAGCAGAGATGAGCATTGGATCTGGCTCCTCAGAAATGATGCAGGCGAGAAGAGAGGACGGGGAACATTGAAAACTGCGGAGCTTGCCTAAAGCCAACAGCAGGCTCTGCCTTGTTTCTGTCCTTTTGAAAGGTGAACCAGCGAGTGAGTGTGACTAATCAAACTCCCTGACTGTCCATCCAGTCAGCAGCCCGTGTCACCGCACCCAAACTCCCCTGCACCCTCTCCCTCAGCCCCATCAGCCAATCCAAAGGGTTCAGAACAAGCAAAGGAAGGTCAGGCTCCTGTCCACTGGACCCTTACAGATCCTCTCCCTGGACCCCCAGGCGAATGTGCCTTGGTTCCACCTTTGGCTGTGTGCTCAAAGTACAATTTCTGTTCTCAAATAAATGTTTCCTTTGCTCATACTACAGCCTGATTCCTCTTCAGTTGGCAGTGTGAGGAGAGAAGACAAAACACCTGCCTAGAATTCCGTATCCCACTAACTGGTCCTCTACAAGTGGAGGAATAAAGACTTTCTTAAATAAAAAGTGAGGTTATTTGTTGCTTCTAGATTTGCCTCACAAGAAATATTTCAAGAATGCTTCAGGGAGAAGGAAAATGATATAATTCAGAACCTTAAAGAAGGGAAATGCATCAGAACATGGATAAATGAAGGTAAGATAAACATTTTTGTTCTTATTCTTGATCTGACAGAAATAATTCAAAATGGTATTGATAGTAACAATGTATTTGGTGATTAAAGCTCAAGTGAAATAACAGCAATAGTACAAAGGAAAGGAGGAAGGTAGCAGGAATATTTTGCTATCAAAAGATACTTGCGATCCAGGGGCCTAAACATGTACGTGCACCCGAGGAACTTCCGGATCCTGGGCCTAAACATGGACGTGCGCCTGAGGAACTTCCGGATCCGGGACCCTAAAGATGGATATGCGCTGGAGGCATTTCTGGATTCAGGAGACTAAACATGG